TATTGGGCCCATAAATGAATGCAATAAACAAAAGACATTTTAGGGATAAATAGGAAAGGATAGAGGGAGGAGTAGTAATTGACAGGAAAATAGATCAACATAACCGATATATTTATAAGGAATATACATATATATATATATGAATATATATATATATATATATCTATATATATAGATATATACCACGCGGTGAAATATGAACGTTTTAATTTGTCCAGCAAATGAAACCTGATATAATTGATCGGGATAGCAATAGTAGAGAGTGAGAGAGGATAAGAATAGTATAAAAGGTAAATAGCACTAATTAACTCAGCTAGGCTAAAATAAGAACCAGGAATATATTGGTGTTAGTGGCCCGAATTCACGACACACACATTCACATACACACACTGTCACCAAGCTCATCCATGTCAACACGTTAAAAGAAAACTTAACTGATATACACTCCTTCGCCCTTCTTATCTTCCTTTCTCCAAAAAAGCGAAACTTTTTTACAATATCTTGGATGTGTATGAGTGTGTATTTAATGCGAATGTATATTTGTATGTGTCTGTGTATGTATATGTATGCGTGAATATTTAAAACAATTACATCAATAAGCTAAACTAGGAAACTCCGCTAAAGTGTAAGAGAGCGGTGGTTAAGGGAAATAATCACTAATCGGGAAGAGATATATTGATATCGATATACTCGTTTGCTTGATTGCAAATAAAGGAATGCCAAAAGGATTCTGAAGCACAAATTAGAAAAATTCTTCCATTTGCAGGGTGCTGTTTCCTTTTATTTTTTAAGCCAAGCTAATACCACCCTTAAGATCCTTTCCTTCACCATCATCAGCTTCTTACCATTAGCCGTTCATTCTTTTTGTTTCATAGACATTTTTCGATTTAGTTATAAATTACGTCTACCGTTTGATTGCATGCTGTTTTTTTATTCCGATGCTTTCTTAGCATTCTTTTCATTTTTTTTCAAACGTTGTATATATGTAACGTATGAGTGGTAGTTCAAATATATATGCACTAACATTTGAACATAAAATGAATTTATCATTTTCTTAAATTTGCCTCTTGAATGTTTCAACAACATCATCATAAGGACTGAGAACCTCTCAAAAGATCCATTACTCAAATTTTTAGATTATTATCATTATCCCCGCAATCATATTTCTCAATTTTACATCTATTACTTTTTAAAAATTTCTAACAGTATTTTATGTTGGATTTGTTTTGCTCTTTAATAAGAAAATCATATCAACGCTTGACGATTTGTTTTTGACCGAATAAGAAATAATTTAAAATTCGTTTCCATTCATCAACGTTTCAATTTCAGAAATTTTTTCCTTTCTTAGAAGTGATTACAATTACTGGATTACAGATTTTATCATATATAAAAAATGTCCGATTAGCTCAAAATTATGGTTGAGTGAATAAAAAATTGACACATTTTTCATGCTATTAATGGTAACATAAATTGATTCGAATCACATCCGAATTGAGATTTCTGGACGAAAATTGGACGTTTTTTTCTGTCCCATCTTTTTTAAATTCAGAATATTGCAATCAAACAAGATGATAAGCGTTGTCTTGCATATTCCAAATTTGATGGATTTTATTCATAAAGTAATTTATGTAAGCATAAATCTGCACCGATAATGCTCATGACGTTTTCATATCAATTTTCACCGCGAAGCACACATACATATATATATACACATACACGCATACACACACACGTCACAAGTTTATCTCCTTATCACTTCTCACACTAATCTAATTTGAAAAACACTTCAACATTTCATTGCTAATTAAAAATATGGAAATCTAAAAATGGAAAAGGAAGTTCCGTTTTAAGAACCTTATCGATGATCGATGATCTTTGAAAACAGCGCTTCCTGTACTGCTTCGCAATGAAGCCAGTGATCGAGTGCCAAAACCATCTTCCACATGTCGTTGATTCCCAATCTCGGCCATACTATTCCAAAAGATATCCAAAATATCAATTGTTTTGAAAACAAACTACTAGGAAGTATGTTATCACAGGTTATCAGGATGAGTAGATTGATATGGAAATAAATTATAACTAATATCAGTGGTAAGATCAAGACCAAATTCCTGATGCAGCGGCATGAATATTGAACTTGCCAGGTGTGCAGGATGCAAGTTTAAATATATGATAGAAAATCCAAAAAGCTGAAAAGAAATATGCAGATATTTGAATTGACTAAGATACCAAGTGATAATGCCGATCGGAATGATTATTTGGGAGAGAGTCAACCGTTGAAGTGATCGGTTACAAGCTTGAATTGGTTCAAAGTAACAGCTTAAGGTGCTGCTGCTGCGGCTGCTATTGCAACTACTTTAATTACCAACGATAGGAAAGCATAGGAGAAACCATTACACATATGCTTCAAGGTTTTGGAACAAACACACAACTGTTATCGGTGCTCCCTCCTCTTCATACCTTGTAAATGTTTGAAAAATTTACTCTTATTCTCTTTCCTGAAATTCTGAACCGATAACAATGAATACCAAATGGATTATTATTATTGCAAGAATTGCACCGAAGAATTTACTGGAATTAATGCTTTATCATTACCAATCCCATTACTTCAGCTTTAAGTTAGCTTTCAAAAAATGGAGGAGGAAAATGGGAACGATAATTCCCCTTTCGGATGATATGCTGCACTCACAATATGTTAAGATCCAAGATTAATTTAATGTTAAATTTGGTAATCAAAAAGTTTTAAATCTTTTGTGATGATGAATTGATGATGAATTTGTTTACTACAGTGAACAAAAAAAGGATTATAAGAGAGGGTTAATGATATCAAGTACTTATCAATGTATCACCTCAAATTACTGTAGTAATAGCATTATTCTATTAATGGATAGATACTACTAGTGATACTGGATAATTCTGTTTTCCAAAAAAAGGCAAAAAAAAGCTATCCCGAAATTTGACTGCTATCCTAATTAGTTTTCTTGCTAAAGTATTGTACTAATTGCTAATAGCCCCTGATGATAACAAGTGTTAATATCATTGATATGAGTACATTATTCAACAACAAGATAACTTTCTTTCAACATTCTTAATTAACAAGTTCATGTTAATATCATTGACACATTATCCTTTTTCAAGGAAGGGAATTAAATGAAAAAAAATGCCAAAATATTATTGTATCTGATAACTCCTATCTGTAAGATTATTTTATGTGTGATTATTTGCTACACATTAAACAGTTGGAATTTTTGATTTGAATTTGAAATGATAAGTTAGAAGAAATACATGCTTTTCATTCGCAATAATTAGCATTGATACGGGATGAGAAATTGTTGCAAGAAAGTTGTTAATAAGACACACATATAAATACAATACACACACATACATACACATATATCCATCCACACATACATGCATACATACATACACACACATACATACACACATCTACATATCCGTCCACATACACATTCCACAACAACAACTGTTCCACGAATCCACATTCCTTAGCTTTACAATTTGAGCTTTCGAAAAATTTTTAAAACAGAATTCCTCACCGACAAACGACAAACTAGCATTCATATGATAAATGCTACATATCCACATATTTTATAATAATCTTAGCACGATGGCATTGCAGTAATGGAAAAAATGACAGATTATTGCTGGCATGAGATCGGAATACGAACTGATAAAATACTTACTGCTTTTTTAATGTTAAATCTTCTGTTTAGAAATGAGAGATCAGTAAATTTTTTTGACCAATACAAATGATAGATTTTAAGCGAAAATTAATGAGATATTGAATTTAATAGTTTAGTTTTGTTATGCAAAGGTGATAATTATTATCATCCATAAAGCACAATTTATTACTTCAGTCTTTGCTAAAATTTTTATAATTTACAGCTAATGATGATTTGCATGTATGGCATGAAATTTGGTACAATTGTCGAATGACATAATTCAGAAAGAAAACGAGATAACAGTACTTTCTTTACTATTCATTTGTTGCAAAAGGTTGATGATAGCATTTTCCTATCGAAAATTGCTTTTCTTCCCCTATTCTTTTCTTCGTATAAAATTTAGATATATTAAAAATAAAAGAATTCGGGTAAAATCGTAAATCTTTCTAAATTAATAATTATAAAAAGGAAAAAAAGATGGTGATAGTTATTATCGTCTTTAATAGTTATTATCAAGTTTATTTTTTTCTCCGTCCAACTACTTAATGTGTTTTCTTTGTACACGATTGAGTAATGCTCTATTTAACCATACATTCCTGGATGGAAAAAAAAAAAACCTGATCTAATAAACAATGATATAGGCCTGTGGAAAGCAAGGTCATTTGTCTCCTATAAACTATGATTAAAATCAAGATTTGAAATTAAAGCTGAGGCTTATTTTATAACCATTAATGAGCGTGAATATCGTTACAGAAATCAAGGGCAATCATGTTATTTAATTCAGATTGCCTTTCATAGTTTCTAGATCTCTTGATCATCAATGACTCAACTTTTCAACATATATTATGCTGTTTTCGAATTAATGCCTAGCATTGCAATTCTCATATCATCATCGTAATAAATAGCATACCTTACACTTTGTTGTAGAAGCATAATTTTTTTTAGTTGAAATAAATTTCAGCATAATTTAACTATTAATCATGATTTTTCATAACCTAACCAAAATGTTAAACACAGCATTGCGTTATCTTATATAAATTTTACACCTCTTATGATTATGCATTGTTTATGACTTTCAAACACGAAATTGCTGAAGTTTAAACATTTATATGTTAAAATTAAATATGATTTAGCAACAAGGAATACTGGAATGACTGAAAATAAAGAGCAAAAAGAAGATTTAAATAATAGAAATGGAGATTAAGATGATGAAGACACTAAACCCGTACGCTGCTTTCTTTCTTTTTCTTTTTTTAATGTAAGATCTTTGGAGACAACTTTAAATATGTTATTTAAACAATTCGTTAACTTTTTCTTCTAAAAGTGTCTCATTGAGGACTCAATATAACTAAGATCGATGATATACACTGTGATGTTTATTTCTATAACCGTTGGATCTAGAGAATTGCAGAATTTCAAAAAGAAATCACAAAAATTTAAATGAAGACTTACGATTTTGTTGATTTCCTCCGTGGCACATAGCCAATTCATAATTTTTAATCGTGTTTCTAGATCAGGCTTGCTCGATATCTCATTCCGATCAATTGCCTTAAAAAGTTTTATATGGTCAAAAATGTTGAAATAAGAATATATTATATCTATGCATTATATAAATGCATTTATATTTTTAAAAAATTACTATTTTACTCATTATATACTCCTTTATCGATGAAGTTAGCATTCACGATATATGCGCTCTTTTTTGTTACAGTTTTTTTCAATTTTGTGTTATTTCAAAGAGATTATTTCTTGTTTTAGGACAAAAATTATTCTTTCACAAAACAACAACTGAACAAATTACCAGAGAAACAAGAGCATTTAATTTATTCAAATCCTACCGAAATTGGCCGTATTTCAGTTTGAGGATTTAGAAGTGAAGTAGTATTTGATTTTTAATAAGTAAAATTTCATTTTCCGTTCATGCCTCTGATGTCATGTAATCGACATCACACATTAGTTATCACCGTTTTATAATAGTGATATTTTCTTACATTTATCTGTTATCCATTGATTAGTTCATTTAATACTACTCATATAGAACCTTACAGACGAAAAATTCCAAAAATATGAATATTACTGTACCCCGCAAAACCACTGCTGAACAGCAAACTGTAAAGCGAAACAGTATCAGAAGTGGAAAAAAGCAAACTGTTCAGCTTGATATCAGGGTAATGTAAATTGAAAGATGTGATGTTCAAAAACTGACAGTTCGAATAAATAAATACATGTGCTCAAATGCATGATGTATGAAATTCATAAAAATCAATTTGAATAAGTGTGATGAATTATGGTAATTGCCTTCCCAATAATTATTTGCATTTCTTTCATTTTTTTGCTCACCATTCTGTTATTTGAATATTAAGAATGAGTTTTGGGTTCATATATTTAAGTTTAACCACTGCATGTTTCTGTGTTCATGTTATGCTTAAATTACTTCAATTAGTGCATTGGCTGAAGTACAAATAGCATCTGAGTGAAAACTTCTTAAACATAAGAGAGACGAGTTGCGCATGTAGTAGTATAGCATAGAGTAGTTGAATAATATCCGATTATACGTATATCACTAGTAAATTCTTCTGTGATTAATTCAACTAGCATGAAATCGTAAATAAGGTTTAAATGTAGATATAAAATTGTTGTGTCCGTTAGTAAGGGGTAGTGAACCAGAAATGAGTAATGCAGTTTAATGACCAATGAGCTGAACTTACAAATTTGACAGCAAAGTGTAAAATCCTCATGACATTTATTTCGCTCTCCGTGAAGAGTGTAAATTTCTAACGATTGTAAACAACCGCATATTACGAAATATTAATACAAAAATTTCTCTAATTATGGAGTTTGATTTATTCTCATTTTGAAAAATTGGGAATGAAGTGGAATTCATTAATGCTAAATGAAAAATAATGTAAACTGCATTACTTACTACCGGAACAATCAGATCATCCCCTACAGTGTGTCTATCGATAATGGCGCTACTTGCACATTGGACACAGCATGTATTAGCTCTTCGAGATAGTTTCATGCTATTAAGCCAGTCTATTCGTTCTAGCAGATGGCTGGGTTATCGGTCGTTCAACACCGTATGGCGATGCTTTCCGGCCTATTTGAATCCTCTCAAACAGATGTCTGGCTATGATTTGTAATTACCATAGCGATGTTACTCAATCGGTAACGAAATTATCGTGTTTTAATTAAAAATGAGTAATGTAACTATGATAGGAATTACCAAGGGTTACCAAATGTCATTTGACTCCAGTGTCTACAGTCATTTCTCGTCTTAAAAATGGTTAGATTTCGGATAAGCATCGCAGATATCCACTACAATCTTTAAATTGCATTTTTTCAAACATTTATTTTCAGATTGTGAAGGGACTTAACTTCATGAAAACTGAAATTAAATATGAGTAATAGCAAAGTCAACTTTTGCGCCTCATAATTTTACCTGTAAAAGTGCATCAAAAATACTAATGTTGGTTGAGGTAGTAGATGAGGTAGGAGGATCTGAAGTAGGCATCCCATCACTGCTACTTGTACCCGAATCACGATGATTTTCATTTTCGTAATCCATCCAATTATTCACCGACGAATCCCAATTTAATGTCTGTAAAAATTTTAATAAAAAAATATCATACCGTGATCGTAAATAAATCGGAAATAATTTCTTAATATTTTCAAAATAATTCCCAATGTTTTTTTGCAGCTTTCAGATTAAACCAAAAAACAAATAAAGAAATAAATAAACATGCAAATGTAAGGAAATAATATTAAAAAATTAGCTTCCGATGACTTCTCCCTGATTTTGATATTCGAGAGGAACTTCTGTGAACTCTCCTTATCTTTACAAAAATGTCGTTTTGTGAAATTTTGGAGAGAAAAAAGAGGGTAGAGTTAAATCATTTCTTCTGCCTATGAGTGAACAAGTTGTCTTATAATGGTGGCTTTCCGAAATTTAAGGACAAAAATTGCATTGAATTGCTATACGAACGCTCTGACGTCAACTTGCAGAACGTCAATGAACATTTTGCGAACATAAATGAAATTAACTGAAGAAAAAAAAAAAACAAAAATGTCAGATAACTGTAATGTACTACATACCTGCACATTACTAACTGCAACATTAGCTTTTTCTGAGGCGATATTGTCACTGCTATTCAGTTTCAGTGTCGTTTGAGGGATTGTTTTGGAAATCTCGACATCGCTTTTCTGTTCAGCACCTGAAATTTTCTCATGCCTACTAATCTGCAGTTTCAATCGGAACACAACAAACAAACAAAATCCCGTAAATATTGTTACAGAAGAGTCAAATTTTTGATATTTTAAATTACATTAAAATGCAATTTAAAAAAAATCTTTCTATAAAAGAAAGAAATAAATCATGGGAATTCTGAAGGGAAGTATAGTGCAATAATTAGTGCAAATAATGATGGTCTATGATAGTTACATCATGAGAACTAATTACATATATGCAAGTTCTTCAAAGATAATTGCTACTTCTAAAAACAAAGAACAAAGAGATTAATCCGCAATAAACTAACACAGCTATAAAGTGATAGAGCTTGACATCTCCAAAAATTTTGCTTTAGTCTTATAGAAGTCCAAAATTTTTACGAGAACACAGATACTGCAAGAAATCAAATTTTAGGTCAATTTGAATTGTCGGAAAATTTTCTTAGATAAATCTAATATCAGATTAAATGACTTAAGAACACATACAATTTTTAGTTATCGATTATACAAAATCCAGCCAACCATGCCCATTTTGTGCCTCATAAAAAGAATAATGTTTTAAGGCAGTCATCTATCCGTAATTTAGTGTTCTTCGATTACCGACCCAATCAGAAACTTGGCCAAGAATTTCTGATTTGCTACAACTCTTACTACCTAATTCCATCGTATCCTTTCTCATTTTCTTCCGCATCTTTCAGATCTTGTCCAGTTATATGTCTTCTCCATAATCGATCCGAGATTCTTACCTTCTTATTTTACTACATGAAAAGTTACAATTCATTATTTTAAATTAAAAATTTAGGTGCAATGCACGTTTTTTTTCTGTCGGAGTAACCAAGTCAAACGCGCGGATAAATTATCATTTTCCAACAGTCAACAATATTTCTTTAACTTCAGTTAAAGTTAGAGTTAGAGCTTATTTCAGTTCATGATATAGATAATCAACGTCTACATCATCTAACAGTGCTTATAAAATTTGAAGAAAAAAAACTGCTTCTAAATTATCGAAAGAGAAAAAAATGGAGGCAAGCTTATCTTTTCTTTTTTGATTGCAAACATAAGGTCAAGTTACAACAGTTGATAGAATGCACCGTTATAGATAATTAAGTTTTTGAAAGGATAAAGATTTAAATTTAAAGTTTCGGAAAAAGTAAAATGGAAAATTAACATTTTTAACATCTCAAAATCCAATAAAACATTAGTTAAAGAAAGCACTAGGATCATCTTCTTCTCAACTGCTGAAACGGTCTAATTATTCAGGTTTGTAATACTAACTGTCAAACCGTCCCACTAAATCAACCTAATAAATATTTATTAAGAGTCTAACCGATATGCGGCAATGCCTTTATGACTTGCAAATCTTGTAGGACACTATCTCCCGCTGTACTTTGATGCTACCAACTGTTGTCCGCTCTAACATCGTGTTAAAATAAATAATTAGATTGGTTTTTCGGGAAGATTTTAATTTATTTGATCGATCAAAAAAAATGCCTTACAATGCGATTACTTATTCATTTATTATAACAATAAATTGAAACAGTTATGATGCAATACGCTGACACTCTCATCCCAACTTTCATAGTCGATTAAAATTTGGTTACCCAAATTTTAAAAGATGGTAAGTTTAAAAGATGGGACAGTTAATCGATAAAACTCAGTAAATAACTGGTACCTCGACATTAGATTTCCTTCTTGTAAACGATGGAAAATTTTATTTTTTCAAAAAAAGAGAAAAAATGATTTGGAGATTAATTTTAAAAAAGTGAGTTTATGAAATAATGGATTTTTCATCCTGTGAAAAGCATCAATGATAAACAAATCAAAAATTAATCTCAACTGGAAACAAATGAAACATTGGATGAATTTAAATTCAATAATATCGACAATTGTATTTTGTTATTTATAATTTACCAGACAATCAACTCGGTAAAACAGGCAGATCGAGAACAGACGGAAAAAATGAAATCATTCGATGAGAAGATTAAGGAAGAATGTTAGAAGCCTAAACATTTGAATCTAAAACTTCAATCAGTGATGAACGATAATAGTTAAGGCAAATGGCAATGATACGATCGCATCTCATTTTAATCACTAATGTGATTTTTTTAGTGAAGTTGGAAAATTTTTAAAACGAAAAAAAATACAAAATGTTTGTGAAATGTAATCTGAGAACGGTAAACAATCGTATGACCAGTCGGGTGATCGAATCATTAAAGTTGTAAAGTTGTCGATGTTGATGAACAAAACCACACCCACACACATGCACAACCATACATACATGTGCATGTATGCGTACATGCATACATAACTCACCCACACAGACACATACATACAAAACGTACAGCAATGGAATGATAGTAGACCGACCAAGTTGTGGAGAAAGAGGAATCGGCAAGTTGTCAAAATGCCTTTGGAAGGAAAAAGAAGAAAAATATTTAACGTTTAATGAATGCATTATTCTTGAATGCCTGAATCATTGATACCAACGTGATCGTATCCCTCTTAATGTGAATGAATCAGTTGTTGACTTATTGAAATTTTTAGAATTGAAACTAGAGAGTTCCAATTTTTTATACTAGAAACGTCCTTGCAAGTGTATCTGAGGATAACTGATGCAAAATATTTGATGATAATAAACAAATCAACGAAATTCGAGAAATGTCAGGAAGTTAATTTTATAGTAAGGTGCCAAACGCGATGATACTCGGAATATTTTGGAAATTGTTTTAAAAGTTTTTTGATTCTTCTTTCAGCAAAAAAAAAAATATTTGAATATCGCTTGTTTATATTCAGATTTAGTGAATGTGTTCAAAAGAAATGAAGCATATAATGAGGTATAGAAATGTTCAATGAGGCATGGTGTAGAATTGTGTCATATCAATTAAAAATTACTTTTATTCAATTGTTGTATTGGTGAAAGATTTGAACAGAAAAACAATGTCGATATGATTAGAACTGATATGATTAAGCATAATGACTTAAATGAAATTAATTGACAAATCACATCATGTGCTTACTATTGCCTGAATGTTTTAAATCAGTTCTAATCATATTGATATTACTTGAAGGGAAAACAAGAAGGGAGAAGAAAAGAATAATAGTATGTTGAATAGTTGCTGAAGTATATCAATAATAACTCTCTTTAGTATTTCAAAAAAAGAAAAGAAAGAATTTATACGATGCTAAAAGATGATAAAGGCGTATTATTTAAACAGTAGTAATAACAAATGAAAATGCAATGCTAGAGTAATTTCGGGGACAGGAGAAGAGAGGAGGAAAAAATTTTTCAACATTCTTTTTCAAGAAAATTATTGAAGTAAAAAATTCGAATTGTCCAAAGATGAAAAAAAAAGAAATAAACACCAATGAAAAAGAAAGAAAATTTAGAGCAGGTGATAATGAGACAGGCGACTACATGTCGCCATCGTGTATAATCAGTTTCATCAAAAATGCTAGTCGATAACAAATTTCATCTCACCTTCTACTCATGGCTTTAAAGCGCTATAATTGCCAATCTGATCTACTCACGTATGTTGTATAGAATGCTCGAGAGTTTCGTACGTTTCCATACTACTGCTTATTACAGGGTAAAGGTGCATAGTTGCTATGAAGAAAAATTATGATCATGGTATCAAATTTCAAAAATTTTAAAGAATTATAGTAACTCTTTGTTGGTTAACCATATCACTTCATATAACTTTGTTTTCCTTTCTCGCTTGGAAGACATAAAGGTAAGTTGAATTTATAACAAGTATATTTGCATCAGTATGTCACAAATGGATGTTGCATTATAAGTGAAGAGCAAATCATTGTCAAATTTTATAGTTTAGAAATTCTAATTAAAATTAAAAATAGTGAAATTCATTTACCATCAGCGATAAAATTGAGCTCTTCAAGCGCTAAATTGAGCATTCGATTAGCTTCCTCTAAACCACCTTTATTCATTGCCATCCGTTTGTTCGAAAGAAAAAAAATACTTCACACTGCAAAATGAATAAACAATTAATTATTATTACACATAAAAGAATAAATATCAGAAAGTTTCAGTTGAATGCATTGAATAAAATTGTTTTCTCTTTGATATTGTCATCAATGAATTTTAGTATTAATTTTCAGATCAAACAAATCGATCGAAAATGTTTTAACCAAACAAGATACACGCTGTAAAACCAAAATTTTGAATACATCTACAATTGCAGCATAGAAGCAAAATACAATTTATAAAAACAACAAAAAAAAAAAACAAAATTTATGAATTTAAACGAAAAGAAAAATTCAGATAAATCTATGAATGATAAAAATGTTGAGGTAATTTTACAACTGATTTTAAATTTTCCCTTTTTTGTTTAAAAATAAAACAAAACATTTCATTATTCTATGATCAAATTGTACATTGCATATATTGCTCATATTATTTGTATAAGATATTTGCAACGGGGAAAATGAGAAAAAAGTGGAGTATAACTCATGATAACAAAGAAATTGTTGAATAAACAATACCAAATAACTAAAATATTAAATTTCTTTATCAAATAACATCTGGCAAGCATATGCAATTACTTTTTCCTCTCTCTACCTCTCTTGAATGAAAGAAAATGAAATGCAAATAATTATAAATCATTGTTACTCAAACAATTGCAGCTATGCTATAACCTAACATTTATACAACTTTCATTACCGATTACCGATCATCGGGATGTCATTGTCTATTGAAAGCTGAGAAAAATTATAATACTTTGAAAGAATTCATCCTGCATAAGTTTACAACGATGGATTATTGTTTGTTGGGAATATGACACATCAATCATCAATGATTTTTCATTTGTGCATATATATTTATATATACTATATTTTTTCACGTATCACGCACGCATAATGCATAAAAAAATATTTTAAAAAAATTTCACGTTTGAAAAGAGGGGAGAGACAAAGAGAAAAACCAAAAACTATGGAATATACTAGCAACTAATGATCCCATTCTATTATATTTTATGAATGAAAGTTTAATGGTGATTCTTTCTAACCAAAATTTCAAGATTATACTGAATGTAAATTGATCTAATGAAAATAAAAACGAGAAAATCATCGACGTTTTATTGTCTCGAGTTTGACATAACCAACAAATGCTTACTTTTAATTTGAAATTGACAATGATGTATATGGGATAGCATTATTCTGATGTTTTACTAAGCTATCACATCCTTAAATCGTCCAGTGATTAAAATTATATAATTTTTTTTTGTTAACATATTGGAAGTATTGCTATAATTTACTTACAAATTGTCGAACAAATATCCTCCACCTACTATTATAATAAGATACCTTTATCAAATTTTAAAATAAACAATGAAGTCTATTTTTACTCTTTAATGAATATTCTGGACCTATTTCTACATTATCTGAACTGTCATACTTTTTCCTCATCGTAATGTTCACCTGGTAAGAAACAAGAAAAACGAATGGATAACAAAAACATCGATACCAGCGATGATGACAAATATGGAATTTTGAATTCTCCAAAAGTAGTGGGAGTGAATGGCGAGTGTTTACAATACGTGTGATCGATTTCCTCTTCTTGATGCGCTTTTTATGAAAGCTAAATAATTCGCTGAATGAATGTGCAGATTATTTTCGCTAAAATATGCTTTGTTTTATTATTTAAAAAAAAAGGAATTTCTGATCAGTAAATGA